AAAAAAAAAAAAAAAAAACAAAATTGACCGAAAAGGTAAGGCCGTTTAGGGATTGAAGATACATGATCTGCAAACAAGTTATGATATTCAATATAGAAACAGAAAAAATTACATGAGAAAAGACGTGAGTGAAATGATCGGTTCACGTACCAGTGAGCGACTGACGGAGAGATCGATGAGAGGAAAGAGAAAATCTCCGACCACCACGGAGGATGTAGAGTCTCGAGAGGGAGACGATTGGGAGTGTTTGGGGAGAGGGAAAATCGGCGAGGGGGGAAAGTGATCGGCAGAGAAAATTATGGGCAGAGGAAAAGAGTGTTTACAGGGGGCGAGTAGTAAGAGAAAAATATATATACACATATATGGACGTATGAGATGTAACCCTTATAGGGCTGTTTGGATGGGGAATTTTACTCCTACATTTTCTCTTTTATAAGATACTGATCTATTTTTATCCTTTAATTCTGAAAAAAAAAAAAACAAAAGTGAAAGTAATATCTTTAATTATTTTTTGTTAATATAATACTCAATAAAAAAAATTTTCCAAAATTTTTTCCTAACCTTAAGACTTATTTTGATAACTTTTTCTGTTAACTTTTTTAATATCAATTTTTTACTAAATACAAAAAATAATAATTTAATCAAATTTTAAAAATACATTATTTCAAAAGTTATTAATTTTTAATATAATATTTTTTAATTTTTCATGTAATACTTTTTCCTTTTTAAACCACTTTACGAACGATATTTCCCTAGTAAAAATTTCCCAATAAAACTAGGGCTCTGGCCAAACAAGCCCTGGAGTTTTAGTAGGGATTTAAAAAAGAGAAAAATAAAATAAAAAGAAATCCCATATAACATGATTTTGACGTGGGAGAATTTTATTGCACGTGACTTCGAGAAAGTGAAGAGCATGCGAGAGGAATGGAGTATTTGGAAGGCCCAGTCCATATCCACAAATTACATTCGGGCTTCGTAATGGTGAAATTGACTCCTGGGCCAGAAAGCTCAAAATAGAAAATATATTTCTTTCTCTTTTTTTTTTTTATCAAAGTTTAAAGATTAAAATTTATTTACATATAATTATTACACATATCATTTATATAAAATTTTAATCATTCATCTTTTCATTACGAATGATTAAGATTTATTATAATTTTTTTCTTTTTTAATTTTGAGTTGAATAATGAGAGTAAGAGTAAAACTAATATTTTTAATTTTTTTAATATAATTCTCAATAAGTAAATCTTTTCAAAAATTTTCTCTAACTTTAAGACCTACTTTGGTAACTTTCCAATTAAGTTTCTTAATATCATTTTTTTACTAAATACAAAAAAATTAATGATCTAATCAAATTTTAAAAATACGTCTTATTTCAAAAGTTATTAATTTTTTATTTAATATTTTTCAATATTCATATAATACTTTTTCCTTTTTCAACCACTTTATCCAACCATTTTCTCTAAATAAAATTTTCCCAGTGATTTTTCAAGATGTTGGTAGGGTTTGAAATCTCGACTAACTAATCCAAATATCTTAAAACTCAAGAACGAATCAGTTGGATTTGAAGATTTGGTTCGAACAAATAATAGTTTTAGTGGGAATTTAAAAGAGAGAAAAATAAAATAAAAGGAATAAGTATATAACATGATTTTGACGTTGGGAGATTTTCAGATGTTATTAATTTTGATAAAATATTTTTAATGCTTTATATAATTCTTTTTCCTTTTTCAACCACTTTACCAAACCATATTTTCTAAGTAAAATATTCCCAATAAAGCTAGGGCTCTACCCTAACAAGCCATAGAGTTTTAGTAGGAATTTAAAAGAGAGAAAAATAAAACAAAAAGAATAAGTATATAAAATGATTTTGACGTGGGAGAATTTTATTGCACGTGACTTCGAGAAAGTGAAGTACACGCGAGACGAATGGAGGATTTGGAAGGCCTAGTCCATGTCCACAAATTACATTTGGGTTTCGTAAATGGTGAAATTGACTCTTGGGCCACAAAGCTCAAAATAGAAAATATATTTCTTTTTCTTTTTTTTATGAGAGTTTAAAGATTCAGATTTGTTTATATATAATTCTTACACATATCATTTATATAAAACTTTAATAATTTATTTTTTTATTATAAATAATTAAGAGTTATTATAATTTTTTTATTTAATCTTGAGTTGAATTATGAGAGTAAGGTTGCTGGAAGTACTAGGTGATGATACATGGCATACAACCCAGGTTCTAGAGTAATTAGGTGTTTTTTTAATAATTTTTTGATATAATTCTAAGAAAATAAGAAAAAAATATAACAATTTTAAAAAATTACAAAATAAAAAGAAAAATTAAATGTTTTTCTACCCGTTATCATGGAACGTAGAGAGGATTCTAACTCAACAAGTAATTTTCGTCCTTTTTTCTTTTTAAAGAAGTTAATGTCTTTCTCCCAACATCTCCTTAAATGTGCTCTAACTTCTATTTTGTTTATTAAATAACTTTGCCAGGCTGAAGAAGTCCTGATGGAAATAAAAGAAACAGAAGCAAAGGTTGCCAGATGGAGAGAAGCTTGTGAGTTCGAATTTGAAGCTGAAAAAGCCGAGATAGAAGGGCACAGCAAATTGGCAGCTCTTTGTATACAGTGCAATATTCCATTAGCTTGTTATTCTGAAGCAAGAGTTGGAGAAAACAATGGCTGCCCTGGAAGTATCCGATGGCAAGTTAAAGCTAAGAGAAAGAACTTGCCCTGCGGCAATGGCTGCCCAAGCAGCCACAGAGAAGTCTCTGCAGCCAGCTGATAGCAAGGTTGCAAAACTACGTGACCAGATTAAGGAAATAATGAAGCAATTAGAAGAAGCAGAGAAGAGAGAAGAGACGCTGTAAAGACAGACGAATAAGTTGGCCATGGCGAGTCTTGAAAATGAACACGTTTGCTAAATGCTAACACAAATACTGAGTTCGAAATGTACAACAGATGCTTCGGGAAATGCAGGCCTGACTTCACTCTAGTGCCTGATGGAATTGAATTTCATGGTCTTTATCTTCTCTCTTCATTTATTTCTTTTTTTTCTTGTTAAAAAAAAACGACTGTTAAAAATGTGAAGGATGGAGAGAAATGCTATATTTGCATAATTATTAGAAAAATACAATCAAAGTTAAATGTACCTGAGTTTCCTCTTAGCAAACATTGCAACTCTTCCTACACGTACCATAGTAGTCAGGAGAGCCGATCATGAACACAGGGTTCTTCTGGCATTCTCCAAGGGCAGCCCACTCAGGACAACTTTCTTCTTCATCAGTGCAATCATTGCCATCCAAGTCTAGTGCATGCTTTGGCTGCTCAACAGGTCTGATGTAGAGGAATTTCGTGGCAAACCACATTTCTCCATCAAGAACAGGGCATCTGGAATGGGAGCTGTGCTTGTCAGGAGATGCATTGAGGTAACGAGTGAAGAAGAGAATTGCATTTCCTTTAACAGGTTTCAGTATGTTGCTAGTCTTTGTACAATCAGACCAGATCTTGCTTTTGACCTGATACAGTTGAAAATCCAATCATCTGTTATTGATTAAAAAGATAATTTCAAACTCTAATTTCAACAATATTATGAGAACTGTTTAGGTAGTAGTTGATCTATTACCTCTGAATCAGGGAAAAGAATTTCACCACCCCGTGTAACATTGGAGAGATATAAAACTATTACTGCCATCAGAGGCTCATTTAAAGCCAATGTGGATCTGTTGCCAAGGTGATCTAAGGATCTGTTGCCCAGGTAATCTAAGTTTTGTCCAGCCTCCTCAGGTCCATATTGCAAGACCTGCAGAGGCTTACCGTACTCTGAAAGAAATGTGAAGTAAATAAATGAGTGAAAAAAAAAGGGGAGAACCATGCAAAAAAAGAGCTGTTTCAGAAAGACCAGGAATGGGGGAGGATGCCTTTTGGAAGAAAAGTCCAAGCTGAAATTCTTTCCTCAATCATTGCAAGAACATTATCCTGCAACAAAGAGTGACATTACAAAGTAACCTAAGTCCACATGAAAATGATAATTCATATTTTTTTAACATTAGGCTGTCTGAGTGAAAGTTTGAACTTTATCTCAGTAAGTTTATGATTCTCAACTCCTTTTAAAAGCTAGTTCTTAGGAACATCCTATTGTTCAAATATAAAAATTGAAAGCACAAACAGGACTACACTTTTACTCATAGATTAAGAGCAACATGCCATGTCAATAATGTCATCTATTGTCACCAATTTTTGAAAGTGGAATCATGAGTGACATTCTGCTTGTGTGTGAGGATGATGGGTGATCATGTTAAATTCAAGGCAAACAAGAAAATTTCATAGAACCTGTCCCTAATTATATACCAAACAAAGATGATGGCAGCTTGCCTTCAAAGCACTAAACTTCATGGTAATAAAGATTATTAGCAGAATATTCAAGAAATAAATTTCAGGAAACCTACATCATGTACAATGCAAAGAAAACCAGTACAAATTAGCTGAATTCTCTTTCTAGCTTCAAAATTTTATATTTTCTTTCTTATTAGATAATGTTGGGATATAGGATACCACAGTAAGAAAGGCAAGTAGTCATTCAGTTATGAAATAATTTCCTAGCAAAAATTGGGAGAAATAGGCATGCTTTCTGAGGAAATAGATTGATAAGAATAATCAAAACTGTTGCTACAAAACTACTTCCATCAGACTGAGAATGTCTTCAGTAGCATTATAAAGATCAGAACCTCAAGTGCGAAATAACAATAACTGAAATAGAAGAGAAAGTTTCCTCATGTTTTAAAATGCCATCAAACAATTTCTAACTAACTTAGAGACATTTTTTAATTCACATCAGTAAAAGATAAAACTGAACATTAATGAGAATATCACCCTTGTTCGGATTGGGGTAGGGGGAGGGAGCAGAGGAAGAGGTGATGGCCAAACCCTTGTCATACATGCCACAAGAATTGGAGAACCAAACTTAACCCCTTCTTCAGTAAGTTTTCTCAATAAGCAATGCAGAGCACGTAAAGCTTGTTAGTCAGAAAGAATGAAAACTCACTTCTAGGTTTAACTGAGTTTCTGAACTTTCAAGCATCCTATCTGTGCCAGCATTCTCTGATCCATTATTCCTCAAAACATTTTGTCTTATGCTGCGGGCCTATTTCAAAACCAAAACAATTATATATTTTTTTATCAGACAAATGAAAAAAAAAATTATATTAACCAAAATAATTATATTAAACTATCCAGTAAACTAAATTTGAATTTATACAGTGACGGAAAGAGAAAGACATGAACGTACCAGGGATATAATGTGGTCACACTCATCATCTGTTAGAAAATTGCTGTATAGGAAGACCCTAGTGGAAGAAAAACTATGTCAGAGTTTAAAGGTAAATGCAGTAGCAGATATGCATATAGTTAGCTGCCTATGTTCGCTGGTTACTCTTTCAAAGATTTAAAAGCAAATATGTAATGCAAGGCCCATTAAAATAGCGTTCTTATTAGTGAAGAAACTATGTAGCAGTATCATCAAACTGTAATGTCTGAATGAAATAATACAAGCAGAAAACAAAACCCAAGAATCTTATCACTACCTGACCTTGGCTGCCATAAAAGTTGGGTGACTCGTGATGGATCAACTCGGTTCAAATGAACTGAATGACTTAATGTATCAATCTTGCTCTGAACCTCCTTATCCCTCAACTCCTTTCTGATACTGATCAACACAAAACAAGGTTCTAAAAATTACCACAAAGAAGAAGGCAGGTCTTCCCTCAACAGGAGAAAGACATAATAATGCCTACTACTTGATGCAATTCCAAGGGTTCCAAATCCGGAACCAATATGCTTGTATATATAGAATCCAATAAAAATCCAAGCACTTGTTTATGTATGTAGAATCAGAAATCAAATATCTACAAGATTAAAAAAACAAGAAGATAAAGAAGATCATCAAACAGGTAACTGTAAATGAAAATTTTGAAAAAATTGAAGCAGAAACCACTCAAAGTCTGAAACCCATTATATCTTATGCATAAAATAGCTGAAAAGTGAAAATTGGAAAGAAAAAAAAATTTTGAAATACGTTTTCTCTTACCTTTGAGCAGGGAAGCTGGAGAATGAAGAGGTAAAAAACAAAAGCAGCAAAATAGTGCGTAGAAAAGCCATTGATGGAAGCAGACAGAACCCCAGAAAGATAATTAGAGATGAAATTCAAATTCAAGAATTTCAAGGAAGACGAAGAAATGCCAAACCCTTTCTGCAATTTTATAGCTTGCTTTCTGTTAGGAGTCCAATTTTCAGCTTTCCGTATGGTTTTATCACCGTCCGTTTGGACGATCCATCACCACTCCGCGTTTCAATAGTAATAAAAAGTAAAAAATAAAATCTGCCCCTTAACACCCAAAAAAAGGTACTTCTCAACTTTAAAAAATTAAAATTTGTTTCAATATATTTTGGAATTCATATTTAACCGTACAAATTATATATTAAAAATATAATTTATTATATATATTTATTAAAAAAATTTAATAAAATAATAAAAAATAATTTTATTAAGTATATTTTAATAAAAAATTATGAAAAGTAAATACTGCCTAGCAATTTTGATAGAATCAAGATCATCTACGATGTTGCTCTTAAGTTGGGAATCATGAAAGAGTTACATGATGGATGAGTCTGAACTTATTCCTATCAAAATTGTAAGGCAATCTTGATTTTTCGTATTCTGTTTTAATAAAATTCATAGGACAAATCAATTTTGTTGATTTTTGTTGGCAGGCTATCATGAAGTGCCCTCCTCGCCAGAGCACCACATTTGATAGCATCTGCATATCTAGCAACCAAGTTTAGTGACATACACCTTGCAGGTGCAATGGCATAGCATCCGATTCTCTCTCTGTCAAGGTTACCTAATTTCTCCCGATGCTGCACCTCCACCAACGTCAATCAGCATTGTAGCTACCCCTGACCCAAGTGAATGTCCCGCAAATGTCAATGTATAGTTTAGATACTTCTGAACCAATCCCTTTTGAATATCACATTCTGCATCCAAACCCATTCCTGAAGCCTTCAGGAGTCCATTATGAACATAGCCGCCATCAAATTTCCCCTGCGCCAACTTATTATCCAAAAGCACTTGATAGTCACTCTCCTTTGCCAAATTGAGACCTTTGATATCAAGAACTATATCAGCATGATCATGATCAAGATGCAATAGATATGAAGGAACCCGGTCTTTAGTATCTTCATAGGTTTTGCTCATAATTAACCAATCTGGGTTGATCCCATACCCCCAGAAGCCAAAGTAGGTGCCGTAAATCGTCTTCATAGACATCTAGAATATAGCGGCACAGTCGAGGAACACGCTCAAATTCTTCAGTAGTAGCAAGACCCCAAGTTTTTACTGTCATGGCCAACTGTATGGAGGCACCGTTTCCATGCCCACCTCGCACATGCCAGACGGTAAACACATTCAGGGAGAGGAAGCCCACACATGATTGATATCGCACCTTGAACTCTAACTGTTTGTTTGAATAAAAATTAGTAAAGGGAGGAGAAGGGAGGGGAGGGAAAGGGATGAGAGGAGAAGTGAAGAAAAGAGTCCATTAATCTTGTTGAAGTAGAGGAGAGAAACGAAAAGGGAAATATTTTTATTTAATTAAATAATTTAATGAAAAAAAAAATAAAAAAAAATAAAATATTTAAATTTTTTTAATTAAAATCATATTAAAAAAAATATTCTTATATATTTATTATTTTAATAAATTAAAAAATTATCAAATGTGTAAATCAAATTTTTTACAATTCTTCTAATTTATAAACATGAAAAATAAAAGAGTGGAAAGAACTTTATTACTTTTTTATTTTCGTCTTTCTCTATTCATGAAGAAAAATAAATAAAGTAAAGAAAAACAAACATAATAAAAGAGATAACTACCCCTCACTCTCCTGCTTCCTCCCTCCAATCCACTCTTCACTCTCCTTCTCTCTCCCTCCAAATCCATCAATTTCTCTCTCCCTCCAAATCCATCAATTTCTCTCTCCCTCCAAATCCATCATTCCAAACAGAGGCTAAGTATGAAAATGTAGAAACAAGTTGAAAAGCTATGCTTGTATTCTTGTAAATTGGAAAGTAACAAGGGAAAGGATCCAATGATTATTGAAACAGTAGATGGGAAATTCAGAATCAAAATATCGACCTTTATTTATAAGTCAAAATCATAATCCATATGTATCTAAGAATTACTAGATATAGATATGAAAAATAATTTAGGAACAATTTTTTTATAATACGCTTTAGCACAACCTTTTATATTATCTAATCAATTAGTTTTTATTTATTTATTTAATACTTGTAATATTAAATATATCCATTCATCTAATAATATATAAAAATTATATAAAAAATTATTCATATATCACCAACCATATTGATATAAGATACCTCAATATGCTATTTGAGGAAAAGGAAATATACAACCTTGAGATAAATTAACATATAACTCAACTATTACTTGAAGTCAAACAAAGATTTCGAATAGGGTAAACTGGCGTCTGAAGAATATAGAAAATCTATGGCCATAGAACCTGATAAACCAACTGGATAAACATGAGTGATAAGCAACAGGATGGGAACACAAAGAAGAAGATAAAGAACGCAGGAGCCCAAGAACATGTCAACAGGGTATACAAGCAAAATTGATTTCAAATTAGACAAAGATGAGGAAATATGAAGGAATGGTATTGAAATCTGATGGAGAATTCAAGTACTTAACAACTATGTAATCGAAGGCAGCACTCACCAGAACCCATTAACCATAGAAACAGATGGAATTGCAACTCAAGGAATCATTGGAACATAGAACTGATCTGGGTCTCTCTCATCAAGTCTCTACCACTTCAACAACCCAAGTCACCAATGATCACTAAGCTTTCACAGATAATACCCAACAAAAAGAGAGACCCAAGTGCCAGATTCTAGCCATTACCAGTAAAGAAGAAAATTTTAGAGCAGAAAAGGAGAATTCTCATCTAAAAGAAGCGGAATTTTGACATTCAGACGCCAAAAACTTCCATTGTCATGGCATGCTAAGCTCCCTTAAATGAGAAAGGTTAAAACCCCTTTTTGGTCCCTGAACTATTATACGGACCCCCGATCTGGTCCCTGAACTAAAAAAATCCCTGATTTAGTCTCTACTGTTTACCATTTTTACCCCGATTTGGTCCTTTCGTTAAAAATTGTGTGACGTGGCCTGTTACTTAACGGTTACCAGATGACATGTCATATAATAATCCACTTGGAAGATAATATAACCAAAAAGTGATGATGTGGAAAAAAAATAATATAAAAAAATATTATGAAAAATAAAAATTAAATTTTTTTTCTGTTTTCTTTTTTTCTTTTTTCTTTCTCCTTCCCCTTTCCCTTTCTCTTTCTCCTTTCCCTTTCTCTTTCTCCTTCCCCTTTCCCTTCTCTTTCCCCTTGGAACCCAGCAGGCCTGGGTTCCTTTGAACCCACCTAGGCGCTGGGTTCCTTGCAAACCCAGCATGCTTGCTTGGGTTGGGTTCCTTGGAACCTAGGCCTGGGTTCCATGGAACCCAACCCCGGGTTTGACGGAACCCAGGCGTTGGGTTCCAAGGAACCTTGGGTTCAACGGAAACCAGGCGTGGGTTTGAAGAACCCAGCATGCCTGGGTTCCTCGAATCCAGGGGTAAAAAAAATATGGAACCTAGCGGCGCGAACCAGTTGGGTTCCATGGAATCCAACCTTAGCTTTCGTCGAACCCAGGCGTGGGTTCAACGGAACCCAGGGGTAAAAAAATATATATATATTTTCTGTGGTTTTGGTTGTTTGATGATGATGAAGAAAGCAAGGTATATTTTTTCTGTGGTTTTGGTTGTTTGATGATGATGAAGAAAGCAAGGCAAGGAAGAGGAAGGAAAAAAAAAGGGAGCTGTTGGGTTTGATTCAACTCAGGTGCTGGGTTTGTTTGCTGGAGGAAGAAGATGATGGCAAATTCGTAATTTTGGTGGGCCCCACTTTTGTTGGGTTGGACAAGAACATGACATGTCACGTTGCCACGTCATTATTTATTCATTTATACAACTGACGTGTCACAAATGTTTGACATGTCATTAAATTGTCGTGAGATAACAGTAAAATTTTAACGGAAGGACCAAATTGGGGTAAAAATGATAAACAGTAGGGACCAAATCAGGGATTTTTTTAGTTCAGGAACCAACTCAGGGGTCCGTACAATAGTTCAAGGACCAAAAAGGGGTTTTAACCAATGAGAAAATAATTAAGAAACAAGGATTAAGATATATGGGAGATGAAGTGGATGAATTGCCAATGCTGAATCGTGGTGATAATGACATCGAAGCTGAGGGATAGTGGGGTGGCTGGCTAGTCAAAACCAGGGAGAAGGTGGTAGCGGAAGGAGGTCATGCGCACTGTCTAAGCTAAAGATATCATTTTGTGAAAATTGCACTTTTACCCATGTGGTTTTAGGTGTTTGTATAAATCAAAAATTCACTTTTACCCACAAATTCATTCTCTAAATTTTTGAAAGAGTGCTCAGCACACTTTATACATATAGGGGTTAAATACACTTACTCAAAACTACATGTGGACAATATCTAGATTTGCCCTATCATTTTTATAATCAATGTTTTTAGTGAAAAATCGTTGAAGTTACAATCATGTTTATGCATTGGTGGAGACATTTTGGTCAAGAGATCATCTTGTTGGCAAAAACCCTTTTTTAGGCATAATTCTTGTACCAAACTAATCATCAAGGACACTATTGATATTTTAGTCTTGAACTAATGTTATTCCAATTAGTTTTTACTCATTAGAACATATTTTCAAGTTTAAAGTTATAGCAAGTTCAATACATTTATGAAATCCTTAATTTAATAGTAGAGTGAGGTTAGAATCTCATGTTGAAAGTAAATTAAGGATAATTGTAACTTATAAGCAAAAGTCTATTCCTCATTCTATGTGTACTTTTAAAGACAAAACCATGAAACTTATGGATTAAAACAGACAACATCTCATGATAGAATGCAACACAATTCTTGGTGTTAACCTTGATGTCACCTGTGAGAATTGGGAACATACCAACACACTCCATCAAATTATTATGCACAACTCCCTTGAGGGAGGCTAATGGTAGAGTCAGATTAGAATCTCACACTAAAAGTAAAATAATTGTCATTTATAAATAATGATTTACCCTTCCTCATGAGGGCTCTTTTAGGAATAAAAGTAAAGCTAAAATAAATAATATCTTATAGTGAGACGCAACATTATTCTTGGTGTTAATAATTTCAAGAAAAAATACTGTAGCTTTTTAAAGTAAAAGTCAATATTTACAATTATACTACTTAGTGGCATTTTATCATTCTAACAATTAAAGTTTTGATTGCATAAATGTAGGGTCCCAGGGATGTCTAGGAGTAAAGTATATCGAGCTTAATGCAATGGAAAGTGGACCATAATTGACATTAACCTTGAATGGGTTGGGGGCAACCTACACTATATATTATGAGAGGGTATGTGCAATTCTTTAGACCAAAAAAAAAAAAAAAAAAGTGCTAAATAAAAACTTGGGTTTGGGGCGACCTTAACCCGCAAGCCCAACCCAATTACTATTATAAAAGGAATTGCGAGCCCTAAACCCTAGTTTTCTTCCTCAACGGCCACCGATCTTACCAGGCGCAGTATCGTCTTCAGGTAAACACCTTGTCTAGGGTTTCTCATTTTCTTACAGAATCCAATCTTCAATTAATTTCAGTACTGGTACAGTTCCATGTTTCTGCTCAGATGACAGGATTTAAGAACCTAATAAGCAAAACCGTAGTCTTTCATGTTCTTCTATTTCGAATAGTTGCTTAGTTGCTCAGATTGTTAAGGGAGTTGTCTCCTATATTTTGAATAAAACCCATATTTGTCTAACTTTAATTTATACTTTTGAGTGTGTGATTGTGAAATTTTAGATTTAAATCATTGAGAAATGCTTCTTATTTACTTCGCACTTGCTATGTAGAATATGGTAGATAAACATAATTCGATGTGATTGCTTTGGTAGTTTTTTACAACATGAAATGAACTTTTTCCACTTGTTGTCTAAAGTTTTGTTTTTGGAGATTGGTATGCTGTTTGAATATAGTGGATTTCGTTTGTAAATTGTTTCTGATATGATTATGTTTTAGCGGTTATGGCTACCAAGCAGCCAAAGACTGGCCTTTTTGTGGGACTGAACAAAGGCCACATTGTAACCAGGAAGGAGTTGGCGCCCCGCCCCTCAGATAGGAAAGGAGTAAGTAGATTTGTACTGTGCAGATCACATTTGCCTATTTCAGCGTTAAAAATGATCAATCTATTTTTCCTGCATATAAGAGAGAAGATATATCTGCTTCTCAATGCCTATATAGCAGTTGGTATGCCTTGCATTTTTTAACCTTTAAGGGAAGATGTTGTTTCAATTGGTTTCTTGAAATAGTGAAAGGTATTCAGTGTTGTACTTATTATTAGAGATATGAAAAAAGTACTGACTTCTCTCTTTGACACAGAAATCTGCGAAAAGAGTTCTTTTTGTGAGGAGCTTGGTCAGGGAAGTTGCTGGTTTTGCACCATATGAGAAGAGAATTACTGAGCTTCTGAAAGTTGGCAAGGACAAGCGTGCACTCAAGGTTGCTAAGAGGAAGCTGGGAACTCACAAGAGAGCAAAGAAGAAGCGTGAGGAGATGTCTAGTGTCCTTCGCAAGATGAGGTAATTTAGCAGGGATTGTTGTTTTTTTTCCTTCTCTGATGCTTTGAGCAGATACTATAGTGTTGGCTTTCTTAGTTTACACAATGCCTGTAAATCTTACCTCCATGGGGTGATTTTTGTGCTTGCAGGGCTGGTGGAGGTGGAGAGAAGAAGAAGTGAAGCTTTTTCTAGGTTGGCATCTCTGGTGATGTGCTCCCTCTTCACAACTAGAGGCCGTTTAGAGTTTACTTAGAATGTTTTCACTTTTTCTTCAAGATTGAAACTGAGCTGGATTAGATATGAGAAGGCTGTAGTAGTACTCTAAAATTCTGGTCACTGTTTGGATTTTATGTATGGTTTTGCCCCATTATTTTTTGAAGAAATTTTGTTATTTTGTTCCAAGTACTAGTTTATTTATTTTATATTTTTGCAAGTTCCTAACGTGTCTAGGCCTCTAAGTGAGGCATGTTTGGAATTAAGGCTGGTTTGCAGTTGCCTAGCGCGATAGTCATTGGATTTTGCATGTGGTGTCTTTATTGATTGCAATAAATGCCGTAGTCATGTCAGTCAGTATTAGAATTAGAGCTTAATCGCTCTCTCCTTTGCCAATATATACGCCCGTCCAATATCATCGATATTGAGAACAAAGAAACAATGACTGAACCCCAAGGGTTTTTGAGTTGCATAAATATTGGTCTAAAAAAATAAGTATTGACTAACAAAAAAATAAAATAAAAAGGAAATAAAAAGGAAAAAGGAAACAACAATGGATATCGATGCAATGGTGCTCTGGTTGTTGGTGGCTAAGCATAACATAGATGCAATGTTGCTTTGCTTGTATGTAGGAAGCTGTAACCGAATCTGAACCGTGGCACTTTGGTGTAATAGGAGAGGAACAAACGAGAGAATTTGTATATAGGAAGCTGTAACCGAATCTGAACCATGGCACTTTGGTGTAATAGGA